ATATATTTATTTATATATATATTTATATATATATATATACACACTAATGTGCAACATAGTGCATATGTAGGTATTAAATTTGTATTGTTTTCATCTGCTTTACAAGGTTTACATGTATGATTTTATGTTTATTTCCTGGCCATTAAACGAACAACATTTAGATTTTTTCATATAATGGACAATAGATATAAACAACTATGACATTTTTGATATTTTTTCAAACATTTCTGTTTGTATAAAACTATTAATATATTTTTGGAAGAATAGAAATTTCTGTACCATTTTTAAGTCGTTTTTAGAATTCTGGGAAGACATGTTGTTAAAATATCAGCACAGATATTATATACACTCCAAAGGGTAAATGGTGCTCTGTCACAAAAAAATAGAAGTAGAGAACACTGAAGAACAAAAGTTATTGCAAAGGAGAAAAACAGGAAAAATATAAAGAATATAAAACATAACCTTACAGAAGAACACATGTAATCAAAGTTTTAATAATTGAGCACAATAGAGTAAGTAAACTTATTATAACACTAAGTAGTATGATTAGTGTAATGTTCTCAGAGTTTTTATTTCATTTCTCTGATAAAAGATACATTTATTTCCCAAGGAAAATTGTTTCTAAATTATAATCAGAATTTCCATGGACCAAAGTATGTCATATAAGCGGAATTAGGCATCCCTCATCTCTATTTTGCCATCAGCCAGAAATATACGGAAGAGGAAGAAATTATTCTTAACTCAAAGATCACTACTTGGTGGTAATAGGTGGTACTTCCACCTTTATCCCTTTAGTAAGGACCTGGTCACATAGATAACCCACATGAAGTGGGGTTGAGTAATACTGTAGTGACAGAGAACGATATGTCAGATAAAGACGCAGGATATTTTTTATTTAGGAAGAAAGAGAGAATAAATATTGGCGATGACCATTTCATTTACATTTTCCAATTTTTAGAGATTAAAAATTTTCCCATTTAAATTTCTAATGTAAATATTTTGTGATATTTAGAAAGATGACTCTGGGCTGTTGTTTCTGGAGCTTAGCATTTGAATTTAGCACTGCATCTAAGAAGAATAATACTGTTCAGTGTGATTTAAAATAAAATATGTGATGCATAAAATAAATGCATAATGTTTTATTCAGCTGGTGAGATGCACCAGAAGGCTGCATATTGTGCTGGGGGAAGCAGTCCCTGTATCTCAACAACTTTTGGCTCATTCTTATGGCTTTCCCTTCATTCTTAGTGTTCCCCATCCTGAAATTTTTTCTTGACCTTTGCTGTCTTTCCAGATTTTACACACCTTTCACTGACAATACAAATGTTCATTCTCATGTATTTCGCACCACTCCAGGTTATAACCAGGCACAACCTCTTGTGCCTCACTCATACAATTTGTTGTTGATTTAACATGCTCTCCAAAGGCTTATATGGTCAGAGGTGGGACTTTTGAATGGTGAATGAGTCATCACCAATGGATAAACCATGCTTGCTGAATGTGCTGCTGGGAAGGAGGCATGGCCTGCTTGAAGGAGATATGTCAGTGGGGGTGATATATGTAAGGAGGTATCCACATCCTGGGCCACTTCGCTTCTCTTTCTCTGGCTTTCTGGTTCCCCCCCTCTCTCTCTTTCCTTGCTGGAATGGGTTTACCAGCTTCCATCTATCAATCCCTTCTGCCAGGCTATTTCTTCTTTGGAGTTAGCCAATCACAGATTGAGTTGAGTTCTAAACCTGTGAAACAAAACAAATCCTCTCTTTTAAAGGCAAGTGTCAGATATTGTGTCTCATAGATTAAAAACAGACTAATATAAAGCTAAAATAAAAGGAAGTAAACAACATTAAAAGAGATTGAAAACAGACTGAAATACTGTAATATTGATGTCTCCTCTGATATTATTTACTATTAATGAATACTTGTGGGTAGTACACTTTCAAAAATTGTCAAATTATTAAAAACAAAAATTGTGCCTAAAGTTTGATCATTATTAATAAGCAACATTTTTCATGGGGCTTGTGAATTATTCTAAGGTTTTATCCCTTAAAACTTGAAGGACAGTCTTCAGCAATTTACAAAAAACACCTTTAAGACAAACATTAAAATTCCACATTAAAAAAACACCCTTAAAGTATTTCAAAATAAACCTAATGGAAAGGATTTATTGTAATTATTGCTTCAAATTTATACACTATTTGAGTACTGAATGAAATTATTATTTTTTGGGGGGGGGGCATATCGGGGATTGAACTCATGTCCTTGTGCTTGGGCAGCAGGTGATGAAACCACTGAGCTAAATCCCCGGCCCAAGAATGAAATTATTAAATATAACTTT